AAAAGATAAGAAGGATGTGATGAGATGGAAAAACTATAGAAAAGCAAATGAGTTGCATAGAAGAAAAATTTAGAAGTGGAGATTTGGCAATGGAGCCATAGGAATGATGGGATTCAGAGAAGTAAGTGATCTTTGTAATCATTGGATTCCATCATAATCAAATATATTGTGTTAGCAGTTGCCCAGAATTTAACACATAAGAATGTTAAAATTGATAAATCATAAATGGATTTTATGTTGCTTATATATTTTTTCTAAGTAATATTCTTGGAAGTGGGTGTTTTTTTTTTAACACATATATAATTAAGTATATTTCTCTTCCAAATTTATGACAGTTACTTATTACATATTTTTGAGAGGCCTGAAGGTCAAGTTCTGCATATAAAGATTTATTTATTTATTTTTAAATATATTTTATTGATTTTTTACAGAGAGGAAGGGAGAGAGAGAGAGAGCCAGAAACATCGATGAGAGAGAAACATCGATCAGCTGCCTCCAGCACATCTCCCACTGGGGATGTGCCCGCAACCCAGGTACATGACCTTGACCGGAATCAAACCAGGGACCCTTCAGTCCGCAGGCCGACGCTCCATCCACTGAGCCAAACCGGTTTTGGCAAGTTCTGCATATAAAGATTTATAGCTTTAGAAAACAAGTGATATAAAACCAAAAACATTTACACAGTATTTGAGAATTAGTTTTAAAATATTTATAGTGTGTCACTTAAGGATCATTCAGTTATTTTTAGTATTTTTAAAATCTCCCTGTGAAATGTCTCACTTTGAAATGTATCTTGCCATTAATTTTATATTGATTTATAATTTTTATAGGGCCAGGAAAACTCTATATGTTGGGCTGCATTAGATAAAAATAGAGAAGAAGCTGTAACTTCTAAGGGTGAGTAAAAATTATGTTATTTTGATATGTTACATTTTGTACAGAATGGTTGTTATATATTTTACTAATACTATAATATTGGATGGAACGAATTTCTATGAAAGCTTATAAGCATCTATTTTGCTATGTATTTATCAAAGCTTTAGGTGGAAAACAGAATATTCACAATTGTCAGGCACTGTTTTTGGCTTTTTTTTTTTTTTAGATCATTTGGAGGATGAGACTGAAGAAGATGACCTATTTGAAACTGAGTTCAGACAATATAAAAGGACATATTACATGACGAAGATGGGAGTGGACATAGTGTCTGAGTATGGTTTTGCCAATGTTTATTATACTTCAAAGTAGAAAAAAATTAGATTTTGCAGTTCTTCATAAAACAGCATAATTTTGGTAGTTAAGGTAGTGAGAAAGAAGGGTTTTTTGGTTTCATAAATTATTTTCAATCTTTCAACTGGTATGATTTTGAAGAAGGTGATATTAACTGATGTGTTCATCTATGATAAAAATTGCCAAATAGAAATAGTTAGTTTTATGCTTATGTCTTCTACAGCTTACAGCACACTTATCTCATTGGACACCTGGCTCAACCGTAGGTTAATACCTATCCAAAATTTTCTTAAGAGCATGCTCTCTGGAATGGTGATTTTCATACTTTTAAACTGGAGCCCACAGTATGAATTACATACGATCATATTTTATTTACTTTAATTAACAACTTATAAAGTGCTTACCAAGTCCAAGCACTATTTTAAACATTTAAAAAATATTACCTTATTTTATTCTCACAGTAGTTCTTTAAGATAGGTAGAATTATTATCATTTTACAATAGAGGATATTAAAAAACAGAGAGGTTTAAGTGATTTGCTCAAGGTGACATGGGTGGTGAGTTGGCAGAGCCAGGATTCGAACAGAGGCAGTCTGGCTTCAGAACTTAGGCTCTTATCCCTAGATTAGGCTGCTTCTCTGTTAGTAAAATAAGTGTTTCATGAACTGCTATGTGCCCTGATTTATACGCAATATATCTAGATATTTTCTGTACTATTGTTTTTACTGTTGTTGTTTTTTAAAATGAAACTATTAGATTTTCCTAGAGTCTGCCAGGGAGAGTCCACGTTTTCAGACATTGCTCTGTAGTCTCTCAGGCTGTCTTCTAATCTAGGCAGTCTGTCTATATTCAAACTGACTTCCAATAACAGGAGATATAGGAATTTTAGTATGTTCACCAGCTCATTTGAAGGTTTGTCAGTTGGCATTACTATGTAGGACTTTTGAGACTTGATATTTCAGTGCCTCTCTACCTGAATTTTGGTAATAGACACCATTAACAAGTTTATAGCCACTTTTGGCTTTAGCCTAGAGCTCTTTTTTTTTTTCTTTTGGTCTGGTCAAGATTTATTTTACTTTACATAGTTTTTGAGAAATATAAAGGGATTAGAGGGAAAATTGTCAGTGGATATAATAGTACTTTTCAAAGTGTGTTCAAGCTGCTATTGAGAAATAAAATATTTATAATAGTTATGCTTTTAATCCTTTATTCTTTAGTTATTATTTCCTTGATTACACTTATATAGAATTATAGTACCTGCAGTTGGCACTAAATGCTTAATTTGATAGGTAACTAGCCTTTGGTTTTATTTTCCTTCCTTTTATAGATTAAAATACAGACATGAAAATGAGATGCCAATTATTTACCTAGAAAATAAACAAATCTTTTAAAATTACTGGTCCAGTGTGGTAGTACAGTTCTTCCCTTAGTTACTGGTGAGAATATAAATTGGTAAAATTATTTTGGAAAGCACATATCAAGAAGCCTTTAAAATATCCCTTTAACCCAATAATTCTAATGGTTAATCCAGGGGTGGGCAAACTTTTTGACTCCAGGGCCACAATGGGTTCTTAAACTGGACCGGAGGGCCGGAACAAAAGCATGGATGGAGTGTTTGTGTGAACTAATATAAATTCAAAGTAAACATCATTACATAAAAGGGTATGGTCTTTTTTTTCAATAGTTTTATTCATTTCAAACGGGCCAGATCTGGCCCGCGGGCCGTAGTTTGCCCACAGCTGGGTTAATCTATCTAAAAATATAAACTCAAGTACAGAAGATTTTTATACACAAGGATGTTTATTACAAAATTTTTTTTTTTATTAATTAAATCTTTATTGTTCAGATTATTACATTTGTTCCTCTTTTTTCCCCCCATAACTCCCCTCCACCCAGTTCCCACCCCACCCTCCTCCCTCACTCCCCACCCACTGTCCTCATCCATAGGTGCACGATTTTTGTCCAGTCTCTTCCCGCATCACCCTCACCCCTTTCCCCCCTCCAAGAATAGCCAGTCCACTCCCTTTCTATGCCCCTGATTCTATTATAATCACCAGTTCATTCTGTTCATCAGATTATTCACTTGATTTTCAGATTCACTTGTTGATAGATGTGTATTTGTTGTTCATAATTTGTATCTTTATCTTTTTCTTCTTCTTCCTCTTCTTAAAGGATACCTTTCAGCATTTCATATAATTCTGGTTTGGTAGTGATGAACTCCTTTAGCTTTTCCTTATCTGTGAAGCTCTTTATCTGACCTTCAATTCTGAATGATAGCTTTGCTGGATAAAGTAATCTTTTTTTTTTTTTTTTTTTTTTTTACCCTCAAAGAAAACTTATTTATCAGGACAAACCACTTTGGGAAGGTTAAGTATAAGAAGTAATAGGAGGGGGTGAAGGGAAACGGCCATTACATATTGCAGAAACACACTGGAAGGCAAACATGGCCCAAAGAAAAAGAAGGAAAAAAAAGTCAAAAGCAGGTTATAAAATAGCGCTCTGCTCCAAGGTCAACAACTTGAACCAATAAAATGAAAAAACCTTGCCCAACCCCAGGTCAGCGTGTGACTCCAGGAAAGAGCTGTGCAGTAATGGAACTCCTGAGAGCAAAGAGGGATACTACTTAAGGGGCCTGTCGTGATCTGAGGACCAAACACCCCTGGCCTTGACCAGAGATGTTTAGTGTTGTCCGGAAACACAGGGCACACCTGGAGCGTGTGAACCTGCAATTGCATGCCCTGCGTTCATTCACTCGTCCCACTGAGGGTAGATGTTAAGTCTCTTACAGCTCCTTCCTAGCAACTTGGGTTTTCTTCTCCCTCTTTGCGAATCATGGGGAAACTACATGTCTGTACTTGTTACATCTCATGAAGCTGAAAGCAATAAAGGATGACCGCTTATGGCCAGTTGTAGATGTATCTCCATTGAGGAAGCGCCTTAACACAGGGTTCCATGACTGGGAGGAGAGGAAGCTGCGGTGATTTTCCTAAGGCTCCTGCTAGACCACAACCAAGATGACCAGGCACTTCATAGGAAATGAGAACAAAATCCTCTGGAACAGTAAGTCAGACTCTCAGGTTAAAACGATGTTTGCCACAGGAATACATGTATCCCAGATCCCCCAGAAAAAATCTGAGAGCACATGGTAGCAGCTGCTGGAAACTTGGCGCTAGATGAGAATGGAACAGTATCTTTGAGATCTCAGACAGTTTTAGATGTCAGCATACGGTGTTCAGGGCCCACTCCTGAAGATGCTGTTAAAGCAAAACCAAAATAACTACCTGGAGAGAACATGCACGTTCTAAGAGGCCATTTTATCTGGGTGAAGGGATGATTTAACTCATGAAACTAAAGAACATAAGAAAACAACAACCACAACAGTTTCCTTGAATATATTCAACTATCAAGGCAAGGCATTCTTCAATATAAAACATTATAATTTTCCCAATACTACAAAGAAATCCAATAAATAACTGTACAGTGAAGGGCCCCAATGAACCCTGTGAGTGACCCTGGGACCCCGAGCAGCTGCAATGGTGGAGGTGCCCACAGCACCAATCCCTCCGCAAGGTCGCCTGCAGTTTGGTCTTTTTCAAATGTGACCCGCTGGTGTTTCCAAGCTGCTTTATAGATCAGTCCCATCTGTTGAAGCCTGGCGGGGAGTGCAGCCCAAAGAGTACAGCCCAAAAAGTGGTCAAAGCCAAGGTTTCCGCACGACAACTCTCTTCTTCCAAGGGACTAGTGACCGCTGAGCCTGGCTTCAGACTAAGTGCTTTAGCCGCATGCGCTTGGAAAGTGTTCTGTGCCCATCACTGTGCCCATCATGCTGGGAAGAGCTCGGGGCGGGCTCTCTCCATAGCAATACTTTGCTATGGGATCCCTATAGGTGTTCTCGTGCTGCACACTCTGGGATGAGGTCCTGCATTTAGCCAAACACAATTCACAGTGATCCTCCACTGCCATGAAGAGGTTCTGGAAGGCCACTGCTGCCCGGTTGAGGAAGCGCTCCAGGAGAAGTTTCTTGTTGGGCTGCATGCAGCAGGAAACATAGTGCTCGTAAGCGCTGCAGCAGCTGTTGGTCAAGCAGCCATCACAGCAGTTCTGCTTGGTGCCCGGGACATTGACATTACAGCAGCCATTCACCAGCAAGTCCTTCCTTTCACAAACGTATCCTAGTTTGTCTGTGATTAGGTGCTTCCCTTGGATGGAGTTCCGGCACTGGTTGCTGGGCCGACTGCTGTTGCCCAAGTTAAACTGCACTTTCCACAGAATGGGCTGATCATGGTCTTGAACCTGGAGGAGATTCCGATCTCTCACTGCCCTCTCCTCCTGCTTGAAGGTGCTGGTGAGGAAGTAGACGAGCGAGAGCCCGAAGACCAGGGCGAGCACCCACCGCTTCCGCAGGAGCCAGCACCACACCATGGCCGCCAGGTTCACCATGCCGGTGCGGATGCGGGGCGCAGCGGCATGGCCCCTACGCGGCGGGCAACCCCATTCCTCACACCAGGCGCCCACCCCGTGGCCCTCAGCCCAGCCAGCTCCCAACAGCCACCCTGCGCCGCCTCCTGGATAAAGTAATCTTGGTTGTAGGTTCTTGGTATTCATCACTTTGAATATTTCTTGCCACTCCCTTCTGGCCTGCATAGTTTCTGTTGAGAAATCAGCTGACAGTCGTATGGGTACTCCCTTGTAGGTAACTGCCTTTCTTTCTCTTGCTGCTTTTAGGATTCTCTCTTTGTCTTTTGCTCTTGGCATTTTAATTATGATGTGTCTTGCTGTGGTCCTCTTTGGATTCCTTTTGTTTGGGGTTCTCTGCGCTTCCTGGACTTGGAAGTCTATTTCTTTCACCAGGTAGGGGAAGTTTTCTGTCATGATTTCTTCAAATAGGTTTTCAATATCTTGCTCTCTCTCTTCTTCTGGCACCCCTATAATTCGGATGTTGGTACGCTTGAAGCTGTCCCAGAGGCTCCTTACACTATCTTCGTATTTTTGGATTATTTTTTCATTTTGCTTTTCTGGTTGAGTATTTTTTGCTTCTTCGTATTTCAAATCGTTGACTTGATTCTTGCAATCCTCTGGTCTGTTGTTGGGAGTCTGTATGATATTCTTTATTTCAGTCAGTGTATGCTTAATTTCTAGTTGGTCCTTTATCACAACCTCGAGGGTCTCATTAGATTTCTTGTAGATCTTATTAAGTTTATTGGCAGTTTCTAGAAAATTCTTGAAAAACCTTAAAAGTGTGGTTTTGAACTCTATATCCAGTAGTTTGCTTTCCTCCATTTCTGTCATTTGTGTCCTTTTTCTTTGTCTCCATATTTTTTATGCTTCCCTGTGTTGATAAAGTGGTTTTCTGTGCTGAGTGTCCTCTAGGGCCCAGTGGTTCAGCCTCCCCAATTACCTGAGGAGGACACTTTTGGTGCACCCCTTGTGGTCTTTGTGCACAGTCTTGTTGTAGTTATGCCTTGATTGTTGTAATTATCACTGGGAGGAATTGACCTTCAGGCCAGTTGGCTGTGAGAATCAGCTGTGTCCGCTGTGGGAGAACTTCTGTGCTGGAAACACCCCTCTGGGGCAAGACTTGCTTCAATGGGGCTTTGGTGCTCACTGAGTCTGCCTCCTGAGTGTGTCCTTTATGGTTCCACGGAGCTGCAAACTGGATGGTCTCACTCTGACCTCTGGGTTTCCTGGCTCCTGGGTCTCTAGGGAGGTGCTAATCTAGCCTTTGCCTGAGACTATCCAGCAAAAGCCTCCCTGCAGGGCTTGGTCGGGGCGGGTCCCACGGATCCACAGGGCGGGGCTAGCAGTTATGGCTGCTCTCAGTCCAGCCCTCAGAGGCTCTGCTTCTCAATGTCCCGGTAATCGCTGCAAGCCCCTTGGAGAGAAAGCTGCCCTTGAGTTCTGACTGAGCAAGACAGTCTCACTTCTCTCGTATGAGTCTGGGTCCCTAGAGACTCGCCCGGAACTGGAGCTCAGAGCCTGAGACTCCCTCCCGATTGAAAACGACAACCGTGCCCTCAACCGCCAGCCCGCTCCGCATGCACCTCCGCACCTTAGTATTTTTCTTCCGCACTGCGCCTCCTCAGAGTCTCGGTATGCTTTTCTCTTTCCTTCTAGTTGTAGGATTTCCACTCAGCCAGCCTTCCTGTAGTTCTGGATGATGTCCGTTCCGTCTTTTAGTTGTATTTTTGAAGTGGTTGTTCGAGGCAGCAAACTCCGGTGTTTACCTATGCCGCCATCTTGGTTTCTCCAAAATTTTTTATAATAGTGAAAAATTATAAATCTACATTTCCAATAAGAAGGTTCATCATAATCATCTCCATCTCTTCCTCATCATAATCACCATCTCGCCATCTACACCAGAATCTGCAGAACTGCTAAACTTGTAATAATAGAAAGTCCCTAACAATTTAGAGAGATACTTAACATTAGTCATTCATAAATGCAAGTTTTAAAAGCAGGACACACACAAACTGTATATACAGTGTACTCTCATTAAAAGGAAAAAAATCAAGCTGGGCATATAAAAAAGACTAAAAAGAAACATACCTAAATGTAATAGTGAATGCTATAAGGTGATAAAAAATGCTTTTCTTCATTATCTAAATTTTCAATAATGAGGAAATGTTGAGTTTATAATGAAAAAGTTATACTTTTTCACATATGCTTTCTTAAAAAATGGAAATCTTAGATATTTAAGGGTATTTTTCCCCGAATTTGGTAATAGACACTATTAAGTTATAGCCACTTTTGGCTTCAGCTAGGGCTCTTTTTTTTGTTTTTGGGTTTTTTTGGTTTGGTCAAGATTTATTTTATATTACATGATGATAGTTTTTGAGAAAGAAGAAGGGGTTAGAGGACAATTGTCAGTGGATATATAGCACTTTTCAAAGTGTGTTCTAGCTGCTATAACCAGATTTTTGAAGATCTTTCTGATTTCCTGTGATTCTCTCAGGCATCATCCCAGAGGAAGAATATACCCATCCCTGTCTCTCAAAGCCCCCTCACTACTTAAGGGTAGTACCACTCTATAGAAAGCTGCATGGGCTAAATCCTAAACCTTTAAACCAAAACATAATAAATTGACTGAATAAATATGCACAGCAGGTTTAAATATTCTGGTGACCAGTTTAGGAAAAATAAAAGGCAAACTTTAATCTGATAAGATGGAATTTTTTAAATAAAATATTTTGGAGTTTTTCTGATTATAATGATTTAGCTTATACATTATTTAAATAAAACGTATTGAGGCAGAGTGTGGTATCAGCAGATATTATGCTCTAAAGATAATGGCCTGTCTTTAAAAAATGATGTCATAATGAAAATATTATTTTCTGTTTTCAGTGATTTTCTGGCTGATCAAGCTGCATGTTATATTCAGGCAATACAGTGGATTTTGCACTATTACTATCATGGAGTTCAGTCCTGGAGCTGGTGAGGGAACACAGAAACAAATATTTTGATTTTCTTAGCAATGGTTAATTCTATTATAGTTTCATTTGGGGATTTCTTTTCCTTTTCTGTTTTTGGTAGTATTTTTTAAAAGGTTCGTACAGCCAAGTTTAAGGGAAATACAGATAATCTCTTCCTATATAAAAATACTTTTAAAAAGACCTTTGTATAATAAAGATACTCTCAGCTCTGACAGATGGCCAATAATAAAAGCTCTTTTTAATCTAAGGATTTAAAACTCTTTATCATTGCCCTGACCAGTTTAGCTCAGTGGATAGAGCGTCAGCCTGCCGACTGAGTGATCCCAGGTTCGATTCTGGTCATAGGCATGTACCTTGGTTGTGGGCACATCCCCAGTAGGGAGTGTGCAGGAGGCAGCTGATCGATGTTTCTCTCTCATCGATGTTTCTAACTCTCTATCCCTCTCCCTTCCTCTCTATAAAAAATCACTAAAATATATTAAAAAAAAATTCTTTATGATAAATCAAGACTGATGAAGTCTTAATAATTATTGGGTTTGAGTGATTTTTATGTGGAATTGTTCATTATATTCTTTTATATATATAAGATATATTTTTATTGATTTTAGAGAGGAAGGAAGGAGAGAGAGAGAGAGAGAGAGAGAGAGAGAGAGAGAGAGATAGAAGCATCAATGACGAGAGAGAATCATTGATGGCTGCCTCCTGCACGTCCCCTATTGGGGATGGAGCCTGCAACCCAAACATGTGCTGGGACTGGGAATCAAACTGTGACCTCCTGGTTTATAGGCCGACACTGTACCACTGAGCCACATTGGCTAGGCAATGTTCATTATATTCTATTTCACATTTTGTGTGTTTGAGAACATTTTTCTATCAGGAATAATTATTGAGGTTATTGGAATGTTAGACTTGGAATGATAAAGAAGAAAGGAGAAAGAAATTATTTGCTTTTCCTGAAAATAGTAATAATTTTCATTTCTCTTGTGCTTCCTATTCCAGCAAATACCATCTACATTTCCAAATTATCTACCCAAATAGAAAAATAAACAAAGCAGAAAATGCAGGGGAAAGTACAGACTTCTAGGTGATGAGATAGTTCGTTTTGTTTTGTTTTCAAAGCATCTCTGCTGGGTTTTATTTTAAAGCATCACATAGTAAAACAAACCAAAGCTGGATAATGTGACTGGTTATGATTTCACTTATTAACAGCCTTTAAAAAATGTTTCCAAAAACTGACCTGATTCTCAAAAACTCTTTAAAGAGTGTTCTAATGACAGAAATCTTTGATTTGTCATTTTTTAAGAGGGTGAGTCCTATTCCTATTATTGTATCCGTAGTAAGGCCTAGCACTTAAAAAGCATCCAATATAATAAAGAGGCAGTATACAAATTGACCATCACTTCAACATACAAGATGGCTACCCCATGTGGACACAAGATGGCCAGGAGGGGAGGGCAGTTGGGAGGGACCAGGCCTGAAAGGGAGGGCAGTTGGGGACGATCAGGTCTGCAGGGGAGGGCAGTTGGGGTGACCAAGCTAGCAGGGGAGGGCAGTTAAGGGCGATTGGGCCAACAGGGGAGCAGTTAGGCGTCGATCAGGCTGGCAGGGGAGTGGTTAGGGGGTAATCAGGCTGGTAGGCAGAGTGGTTGGGGGCGATCAGGCGGGCAGGCAGGCAGGCGGTTGGGAGCCAGCAGTCCTGGATTGTGAGAGGGATGTCCGACTGCCCGTTTAAGCCCGATCCCACCAAGTCCCAGATTGGAGAGGGTGCAGGCTGGGCTGAGGGACACACACACACACACACACACACACCCGTGCATGAATTTCATGCACTGGGCCTCTAGTGTTCTCATATAATCCTCACAACCATTTAAATTAAGTGTTGTTGTCTGCCTTTTGCAGATGAGGCTCAAAGAGATTAAATAATCTTTCTAAGATCATACACACAACAAAGAATCAAGTCCAAGCCTATCTGATTCCAAAGTCTATACATTTTCCATAATTCTACATGCCATTCTGCCTCCTAAA